CATTCAACATACATTCATTGAGCACCTACTATCCTCTGGACACTCTTCTGATGAGTTCCAACAGGGCACAGTGGTCATGGCTTTTCTCTGCCCCACACGGAAGACTTAGCTGGAAGAGCCGGGGGCTGGGGTGACTTGACAGCTGGAAGTGTGGAATCTCCTAGAGGCATCTTCTTTCACAGGTTGGATGATCTGCCTTGAAAGAGGAAGAGAACATAAGACAGGCTGATCTATTGTGTGAGAAAGTTCAGGAAGACCTAAGAAAAAGATAAGAACAATATGACAGAGAAGTTGAAGAGAGTCTCCAACTCTTTTGGGATAGTGGACATGGAATTGGGGGCTGTCAGAAATTCTTTGACTGAGGTTGTGGAGGAAAGAAATGAAGCCCAGAGGCAACTCTATCATGAACAGAATGAGAAATACAGTTCATGAGATTCTGGACAATCAACTTTGCTATGAAAAGGAGTTGGATGATCTTAAGAAACAACTGGAAACTTCATCTTCACACTGTGCGTGTCTAGATATAGAAAATCCATTCCTGAGGCAGGAGGTTCTACCTGGGGAAGGAATGAAAAGAAGATGCAAAACAAAACAAAAAAAATAATAATAAAAACAAACTGGACGAGAAGAAAAAGCATTTGGAAGAAGAAATACCCTCCAAAGACCTAGGGAGAATACTATGGTAGAAGTTGATCTGATAGAACAGGATGAAAGGATCACTGAACAGAGAGCAAGAGAGGACGCCTTGGAGGAGATGGTGCGATTTTCACAGGCACAAAGCTATTTACATAATTTAGGAGAGCATCACGGGGCTTCAAGGAGAAGGAAAATGAAGCCGAGAATTCAAGACATGGAGCCCCCAATCCGTGAAACGACCATTCAAGCTTCTTTCATAAGAGAGATGGAAAAGTCAGAGCAGCTCTCTTGAGAAGAAATGGACACTGGAATAAATATCCTTGTCAGATGAACTTCACACGACAAAGGAGAGGCTGGCGGAGGTCAGTGCTGGACTTGTCACAGAGGAAGAGCAGAATCTGACCTCACTGACCGCATTCCATCAAGGCCTGCCCTAGACCACCCTTCCACTGGAAACGGTCCTGGCAGGTCCCTACTGGGCAGAAGGTGTATGGTAAGCCTAGAGCTCAGTGGTCATAAGCCACACCCCCTGTCCTGACAAGGACAAATGGCACAACCCTGACCGCAAATGGCTGCTGAGCTTGAATCTAGAACTTCAGGGCTTCTATCCTGGGATCGACTAAGAAGTGGAGACACACCTTCGGAAGCATCACAAGAGTAGAGCAAAAAATTGGAGATGAGAATATATGAGCTGAATGATCCTATCTTATAGATGAGGCGTTTTATATAGCATTTTAATTGTTTCTCATTAAAAATGTCATCTGGAAATTGTAGGGAAAAGAATCTATGGTAAATATACGATGGAATTCATATAAATTGAAGAAGGTCTCTTAGCATGTATGACTTAATAAATACTGTAGTGTTATATGTTTGGAAAGAAAACTGTCGAACACCAGGCCTCACCATCCCAAGCTTGTCAAGGGTGTGGGACAGAGGAATGGGCATCACTGTGGAAGTGCCAACAGGTACAGTCGCTTTGGAAAATGCCATGGCATGGCACTCCTAAGTAAATTCCCACAAGACTGCATTTCTCTGAACTGGAGGAACGTGTGCAGAGTAATCCCAAGAGGTAGTTCAGCAGAGCAATAGAACTTACAATAGGACTGATAAGTAAATTACCATTGTTCTAGTCAGCTTTTTTGCTGCTGTGACCAAAAGACCTGACAAGAACAATTGTAGAGGAGGAAACGTTTGTTCAGGGACTTCAGCTGACTCCATTCCTCGGGGCTCAAGGTGAGGCAGGAGGACATGGGGCAGAAGATTGTAGGGGAGGAAAGCAGTTCAAGACTTCACACCAGGATGCAGAGAGAGCTCTGCTCAACACAGACAGAATGTAAACCCCCAAGGGAGGCCCCCAGGGACCCGCCTCCTCCAGCCACACCCCACCTGCCTACAGTCACCACTCGGTTAATCCCTATCAGGGGATTAATCCACTGACTGGTTTAAGGGTCTCCTAATCCAATTGTTTCACCTCTAAACCTTTTTGTGTTGTCTCACACCTGAGCTTTGGGGAGACACCTCATATCCAAACCATAGCAATGAGACAATATATTCCCACAACGAAATAATCTAGAAAACTGAAAATGAGCAAACAACTACTCACGATATGGATGGTTCTTAAAAGCAGAAGGTTCAATGAAAGAAATGTGACATGAGAAGATAGACCATAGGAATCATCCATCCATATAAAGTTAAAAAATGATTTTAGAGTACACATACACATAGACTCACCAGAAAGAAAGGTATCAGGACGGTTGCTATTTCTAAGGATGTGAGAAGACAAAGGACTCACAGAGTTTTGTTTCAGTGTTTTTTAGTCTTTAAAAGGGGAAATGTTGCTCATAATATTTTGTGCATTAACCCAGGTGGTAAGTATATGGATAAGTCCTTTGTAAAACATGTGCAGTTTGCATTAAACTGTAATATTTAGAGTGTGCTTTTCCTCATTAACAATATTCTTTACAACTAAAAGAGGATAAAATTATCTTTGTTCTATAATATACTTGATACAATGAAAAATTCAAGTGCATTACAACGTTTAATTTAAAAACACAAAGTCATACATCAACTAGAGGGAAATATAAGCAAATAAGTGCCTAACACGAGAGCTAAGTGGCTAGGAATTACTTTTCCAAGCATATGAGTAAAGGCAAAAACCATGAAAGAAAAAAAAGTGGGTGGATTTTATTTCATAAAAATGCAAAAGGTCCTGTATGCTGAAATATTAAATAATAAAATAAAAGACAATATAAGGGCAATCGACATCTGGGGAGAGGAAGATACTAGGCAATGTTGAGATGCATCTGGCTTTTGTGAATTTGGAAGAGGGCAAGAATAGACTTATATTCACAACAACTGATTAAATTAAATGTTATAACAGCCTCTTTTTTTTTTTTTTTAATTGGTACCAGGGATTGAACTCAGGGGTGGTTAACTACTGAACCACATCCCCAGTTTTTTTTATATTTTTTAATATTTTATTTTGAGACAGAGTCTCACTAAGTTGTTTAGGTCCTCCTTAAGTTGCTGAGGGTGGCTTTTTACTTACAATCCTCCTGTCTCAGCCTCCTGAGCCGCTGGGCTTACAAAAGGGCACCACCCTTTTGTAAGGAATTACCACCTGTTTGGAGTAGACCTAACTTCTAACTTCCTGAGCCTAGATAGTGCACCAGGGGACAGCCAACATGCAGAGGAGCTTCTTGGGCCTCCCAATTCTGTTCTCTGAAACTGAAATTTGGGCACCAAGATATAAGATAGAGGCTGGGTGCAGTGGCGCAGGCCTGTAATCCCAGTGGCTTGGGAGGTTGAGGCAGGAGGATCGCAAGTTCAAAGCCAGCCTCAGCAATAGCAAGACACAAAGCAACTCAGTGAGACCCTGTCTCTAAACAAAATACAAAATAGGGCTGGGGATGTGGCTCAGTGGTCAAATTTCCCTGAGTTCAATCCCTGGAACCCCCCACCCACCCCCACACACACACAAGGTATAAGATAGAGCATCTGCTCACTGTTTCTGGTGTGAGAATATAGAGAGTTTGAAAGTGGCAAGTTCGAAATCCTGGGATCTTAGAATCTCTCATTGTAGATATAGTTTAAAAATACTTTTCAAGGGATAATAACATTTTTGGTAGGGATTGGAAAAAGTGTCCTGGAAAACATCTTCATCTTCCTGAATGAGAACTACAAAACTGAAATTAGTAAAGAAATTTCAAGAAATGAGCCAAATGTATCATCATCAATTAGTCTAATAGCTCAGTGGTAGAGAACTTGCCTAGCAGATGTGGGCCCCAATTTGGATTCCCAGCATCATCATGAAAAAAAGAATAGCCAAAAGAACTTAAATCTTAAATCAACTTAAATCTCCCAAGTATATTTATGATGATTGTGAGTGCATTTGGAGCTGTTTGATGGGATTACAGTATTACAGTATTCAGGTGAATTACAGAATTCAGGTGAAAATTACAGTATTCAGGTGAATAAAGGTTGGTGATGGGCTTTTGACCTGGTGTGGTCAAATTATAATATTGACTACATTCTTTCCAAGGACACAAACTGTTTCTTTGGTTATGTTCTTATCCTTTCTATCCTATCTTGAGGGTGTGACCCACTTATCCATCAGCTGTTTCAAGTAGGCATTTTGGATATAAAGGGATTAACTAAAGAGTGGATAGTGAAAGGATTTGGCAGTGATGATTTATCATTTTCTTTTCCAGTTTCTTTCATTAGATATAATTTTTTTCCTTTCGTTTACACAGATTTTTAAGAAAATCAGCCATCCTGGGCCAGATGACAGGGAAATTTTGTTATCAAAGATAACAAAAGGGAAGGGCTGGGGTTGTGGCTCAGTGGCAGAGTGCTTGCCTAGCATGTGTGAGGCACTGGGTTCGATACTCAGTACCACATATAAATAAATAAAAAATAAAGGTACATCAACAACTAAAAGATCTAGCTGGAATAGATCGTACCAGCTGTGATATTTCTATAGATCACATAAAAATGTATATAGTTATTCAATGTATCAAGCATTGAACACCTACTATGTCCAGGCATGGTTCTAAAGACAGGGAATTCAGCAAAACTAAAGATAAAATCCCTGTTCTCATCTGGGGGACATAATTAAACAGTAAATATATACCATGTCAGCTACTGATGAATATACTAAGAAGAAAATAAAGAAAAGAGGAATCAAAAGTAATTGCCATCCTATTTAACTAAGATGACTGCAGGAAGGTTTCTCTGACAAATTCAGAGTTTGGGGTGTGACATTCAGGAAGTTCTTGGGGAAACTGCTACCTCTTGATTGATTTGTTCTTAGTTGCCCAACTTCTTCGTAAAATTCAGAGGGGATGAGGAACATGCATTGTAAATGATAGTGAGTATCAGTTTATTATAATAATTGTATAACATTATGAATTTTATAAGGCAATAACTTCCCCATGTAAGAAAAAAAATATTCCAAACTCCCGGCGGGAGGGGGGGACTTCATGGCACAGTTCCTGGCAATCCTAATTAAAAATGGGACTGGGACCCTACAAAGGAGCAGGCGTTCCTCTTCTGCAAATTCAGGAAGTGCATGACGGTTCGCTTCAGTTCTCTCATCTGTAAACGGGAGATAATGGGAATATGAACAATTTCGGGAGTTTCATGTTGCTACATTGACATCTATGGAGTCACCTCTACTGAGACACATTGAATCATTTGTGAGGCATGGCCTCAAAGCCTGGAAATGTATTCATTCATTTAATCCATGACAACTCAGTCAACCAAGGACTATTTTTAACCGCGTTTTACAGCCAAGGAAAGTCAGGCAGAGAGGAGTTGAACCCAGAAGCCCTCAACCAGGGCGCCAACCCAGACGACTTGGCTCCAGCTCCTGGCGGCGCTGTTAACGCGGTTCGCCCTGTGCGTAAATCTATGTGGAGCTGTGGCTCCTTGCAGTGATACCTGAGTACCTACTCTGTCCAGGCATTGTTCTGCAGAGAGGGAATGCAGCACACACCGAGATAAAACCCCTGTTCTCATCTAAAAAGTAAACCAACAGCCTGTCAGCTCTAAATGCAATAAATTGCCCCCATTCAATTGCGTTATCAACTGTGGGCAGAGGCAGCTCCGGAAATTCTGCTTACGAAGAATCCAGGGTAGCCAGTTTGTCCGAAAGGGAAGTTGGGGAGTGCTTGCGTAGCCACGGTCGTGTACTGCCCAGGGACATAAAACTTATTTAAATGGGAGGAGGCTTCGGTAGTGGCTGGGGACTGTGGGACAGGGGAAGGCAGCCCGCCACCCCCAGGGAACGCCAATCAGCCGCGGGGAAGCCACCCCGGGCAGCAGCTGCCAAGTGAGCTCCCCTCCCGGAACCGCCCCGTGAGCCGGTCCTCCCAGAGCCTCAGCCTCACCCCCCCCCCTACGGGAGGCAGATGGTCTGGCCCGTTCTCGGGCTAGTTCAGGTTCCGCGCTCCGAGTCACAAAGCGCAGGGTCACGTGGGCGGGCCGGTGCGCTTTGTGACGCCACGGCCCCGCCCCTCGGCCCGCCTATCCGCGCACACCGGCTCCGCCTTGCGCGCGCCGCCCGTGCAATCCCTGCTTAGAGACCCCGGAGTGGGGCGCTCGCCCGAAGCCAGGCCGCGTCCGCCATAGTGCCTGGCTTGGAGGTGTCGCCGTCGCTGGGTGAGGGCCCGAGAGCGGCAGGGGGGCAAAACAAAAAAGGGAGCCAGCGAAGCCCTCATCGCCGCCCGGCCGTTTCCGGGCTCAACTGGTCGCGGTTCTGGGCCTAAAGGCGACGGGAGCGAAAGGCGAGAGAAGCGCGGAGGAGGATCCGGCGAGAGGAAGCGTCAGGGAAGCCTCGGCGGTGTCCCCTGGGTCCGCCGAAGCCACCCGGCCGCTGGCTGGGGCCCGGGGTGGTGAGGAAGTGCTCCGAGGCCTCGCGGAGGCCCAGCGCCGGCTTTGTGTCGAGGCGGCGGCGGCGGCGGGGGGGAGGCGGAGCCCGAGCCGGGGGCGGCCTGCGGAAGGCCTCTCCTCCGCCGACCGCGCGTCCTCGGCCTAGGCCGCGGGCCGCTCGTGGCCGCCGGGGAGCAGGCGCCAGGGTGTGTGTGTGGTGGGGGCCTGGGCCTGGGGAAGCTGACGCCGGTCGTCCGGAAGCCAGCCGGAGGCGAGAGGCCGCTCGAGGACTCCGGGCCTAGGCCCTCTCCCCGCAACCTTCTCCCGGGGCCTGGGTCACCCCCATCCACGGAGAGAGACCAGCCGGGAGGTGCAGCCGCGCTATGGACCCCTGACCCCGCGGGGGCACCCGGACTCTAACGTGTGGACTGACCGCTACTGACTGCACTGCCGGCCCTTAGCATGAGCGAGGGGGACCCAGCCGGGTGACATTGTGCCCGTTGGAGGATTCTCGATTTCCCCCCTTCCCGGTCTTCGTCCTCCTCCTCCCACATGAAGCGCTTCTGAGTGCCGGGGGGGGGGGTTCTGGATTATTGTTCTCACGCACCCCTGCTTGTGGTTGGGGGGTGTTTAATCTGAGGCCTCAGGGTCCTTCGGTGTCTCTTTTGAGTGTTTTCTGTGTGTACATATTTTGCTCTTCCGTTTTATAAATATACATATATTCAGAGTGTCCACGTCTCCTCGCTGAACCGTAGGAACCCTTTGGCACAATGTCCTGTGTGCATTATAAATTTTCCTCTAAACTCAACTATGATACCGTCACCTTTGATGGGCTCCACATCTCCCTCTGCGACTTAAAGAAGCAGATTATGGGGAGAGAGAAGCTGAAAGCTGCCGACTGCGACCTGCAGATCACCAACGCGCAGACGAAAGAAGGTAAGGGCCACCAGGGCCCCAGGTGTCTGCTGGGTGGAGGTGGGTGGCCGAGCCCTGGTTGTAAGGTGCCTGGCAGGGGACTAACCGCCATTCTGGTTCGTTCTAATACTTCCGATCCAACTTTTCATTGATGGCCAGGGGGTTGCAGCAGCCGACCTTGCAGTTTCCCAGCCCTGGGTGATTTCTGCAATGCTGGGGTCTTCTGGAACAGGCTAATCCGAAAACGTGGAGATCTGGTTATTCCCGATTTTTTTTTTTTTTTAAATGGGGAGGGTGGGTCGAGAGAAGGGGACCTGGCTGTTATCTGTGGCGTTTTCTAACTTGTTTGAAATCAGAATAGGAGCAGAGTCTAGGCAATGTTTCTTTCTTGTTAAGGGAGTAGTAGACATAACATGAATTTTTTACCCAAGAACCTTTTGGAGGTTAATAGCAAATTGTGTGTACCTTCCCCCCCCCCCTTATTTATTTGTTTATTTTGGAGTTGCCTGTGTTGTAGAGAAGGGATCCTTGCTTTAATATTTTTTAAAGATTTTAATCAGTGTCGGGATTGTTTTTGGAATTTGAAATGTTCTGATGTCATCACTCTTGTCTTTTGTGTAAATTCCAGAATTTGCAATACAGTAATTGAGTGGTTGACCTCTTAGTTTATAGTATGACTCTTAAAATTTAGCAATTCAGTCAAGCTCCAGAATACTGACATTTCTTCTTTAAAGTGGTAATTGCTAGACTTTCTTTGGCTCTGAAAAATAGTGAACTCTTCTGTCTTGTGAGTACAGGTAAACCACTGATTAGAATCTTTTGAGTTCTTTCTCTATTTTAAAGATATTTTGTAATATTTGGAATTTAACAGTAAATATGTGACCCAGGAGTCCTGTCTGAATCTGAACTCGTTTTGGTTTCTTTTTCTCAGTGTAGTAATGCTGATGTGTAGTTTTCAAATAGATCAGTCTTCAGAGATTTATTGATGGGGGATGCAAAGAAATGGGAATGAAGTTCTAATATGGTTAGGGTAATTTTTGATCACCAAATTCCTGGTAAAGTGTGGCATGAGCTTTTTATATTTGGAAATGAAGGTTCCCACCTCACCTGGAGTTTGGTAGATGAGTAAGTTTTATCATATAGAAGACCAGAAAAAAACATTCATTAAGGAAAAACTATATTTACTCACATAACATGCAAAAAACAAATTGCCCCCCCTTATTTTTTTAACAAGGGTCATACCCTTTAAAAATTGTCATCATCTGTAATGTCCCTCTGCTTAGGGAAAGGGACAGATAGGAAGTAGATTTTTTTTGAAGTTCACCAGAAGTATCCCTTAATACTGCAGTTATAGTTCACAAAACAAATGGATTTTTAATGATTTTAGGCCATATTGCTACATTAATGCATATTTATGAATGAAAGGTAAAGCAATATAGGTGAAATTTGAGGATATTAAGGCAATTTTGTCCCGAGTTTTGGCACCAAAAAAAAAAAAAAAAAAAGCAATTTTGTTACATACTATGCAGTTTTCATTTTTGCCATTTTGAGTTATGTGGTAGGGCTAGGCTTTATCCATCTTGTCTACATAGCAATTAAAAGCAGCTTTTAGACTGGAGGAAGTTATGGTTGAAGGAATCTTGTCCACAAATGGGAGAGTTTTGTGACTATGTGTTATTTTTTCCCTAGTCCAGGAAATATAAATACATGATAACATAATCTAGGAAAGTGCTTTGCCCAGCAGCATGTTTTCTTTCATTTATAGTGTAAGCTGAACTTCAGTGGAGAAAGGTTAGGCTGGTTAAGAAAAGAGTGGAAGACAAATGTCTATTTCGTGTAGTCGTCATTTTAGGGGATGAAAAGATACCATTGATAGCAGCGTAGAGGGTAGCAGCTTCATGAGTTTTGTGAAAAACAGCATCCGCTGTTTCAAGACCCTTGAATAAAGATGCCACTTGGTTTTAGCACTGTTAGTAAAGTTGCAAAATAAGTGTTTGTAGTATAAGAGATTGCCTAAGAAAGAAGGTTGAGCTGGATCATTTCAGTTTCTGCTGTGTTTCTATTAAACATTTCTTATAGTTTTTGAAATCTGTCTGTTTAGGACCCCTAAATCCTGGTAATACTAAAATGCTTGAATCAGAATTTTGTTTTAGATTTTAAGTATCCTGTTTACTTTTAGACCCTTTCTGAATCTCTCCATTTCTCAAATTCAACATTTTTCATTCCATCTATGCCATTCATGTTTTTGGATCAAAACTTATGCTGGCAGGTCCTTAGAAGCTAAAAGACTACTTATTAAGGAGTTATTTTAAATGTAAGCTATTTTGGGAGTTAGAAAACCATTGTAATTCAAGTAAAGTGGTCAGTTAGAATATCTGTTTGAAGGGCATCAGGACACCTGACTCTTTAATACTATTTAACATAGTATTGTGCAGATCAAATTAATAAATTGGTTTTGGAAGCTATTATGAATGCATTTGAAAATTGTTACATATTCAGAAACTTCCTGTCAGATAGTTGACTTATTTTGACTTTCAAATTAACTTTTTAAGCTTATTAAAAATCCCTCATCCTTTCCCACTTCCAATTTTCCTGACTCAGATTGATTGGAATTTGGGACTGTAACAAGCTATCCAGCATAATGTCCAGAGTCTTACATTGGCATGCCTAATTCTGGGAGATTGCGTCACTCTAATTGGATACTTGTAAGGTATCACCAAGTAGTTGAAATATATTGATAAGAACCCTTGCCTGAACAATTTATTTTATAACAGGGAATACTAATAGCATTATGACTAAAAATAATAAAGCTGACATACATTTAAAAACCTAAAAATTCCACACATGTAATAAGCTTGAAATAATTGAAAGAGAGATAGCCACTTTGTGCTAAGTAATTTAAGAGAAGCACATAAGCTTAATACCATTAAAAGTGAACCCTAATATCTGGTTGTGGGATTAAGAGAGATGGATACATTTTTGCATCTCTAATGAGTTATTTTTTCTTTTTGATACTGAGATGCCTTGGTAAATCTTGTTATTGTAGTTAAGGGTGGGTTCAGTTTTTTTGTTACTAGTATAAGTTATAGACAGTCCAAGAAGGGAAATAGCACCAATTCATCCTCTCTCGGTTTTCTCAAAAAGTAGCACCATTTACTAAAACTAGGAACCTAGGAATTCATGCCTCTTTTTCCTTTATCTTCCCATTATTCAGCCCATCAGCAAGCTGTGTCATTTCTGTCCCAATAACATTCTTTATTTTATGTATTTATGTGGTGCTGAGGATTGAACCCAGTGCCTTACACTCACTAGGCAAGTGCTCTGCCACTCAGCCCCAGCCCTGTCCCCATAACATTCTGGCTCTCCATTTCTTTCTGCCACATCCCCACACATTATCCCTGTCTGGTATCATCTTCATTATCTCTACCAGGACTAAGAGGCAGCAGCCTCTTAGTCACCCCGTTTCTCCTCTTCCCCTACAACTTATTCTTTACATAGGTGACATAATTTTATTTTTTTAAATTAACTTGTTTGAT